AGACTGGAAATTCTGACCTATGTTGTAGTTGTCAGAGTGTCCCTGGGACTCTAAGCTTGTGCCATAAATAATTTTTTATTTCTCTTTGTTATCCTTAGAATTCAGCAAAGTTGTCCCAACTATTCTAGCTTTGTCCCAAGATTCAGAAGAGGGGAATTAGCAACAAAGTCTGAACTTGACACTTGGGCTGTGGCAGATGAAGGGAGAAGAGTCAGTTTGAGAATAGCAATGGTGCCTAAGTTGTCCCCAAGAGACAGGTTACAGAGAACAAAATTTGGGGACTATGAAACCTAGCAGTCCTGATCTATCCTTCCCTGACATCTGCAGTCTAGCGGGCTCTGGTGGCATCTAGAAAGGTTATGACTCCCTCTACAAGTGATCCTCAGAGTTGTGCCTTGGTGGGTCATTTAAATTCTGTCATTGAATAGAATATCCACATGAGTGGTTATAGATTCATAACTCTGTCCTTTTTGGTTCAGAAATGTGTAGTTCACTTCTATCCATTGAGCCTTCTAGCATGACTATTATTTAAAAATAGTGACTTCCTCATTAGCTCACAGTGATGGCCAGGCTGGTCTGATCAATTTACAGTCTGCTTTCTGAATGGATGATCCAGTTATAGGCTAATATACCAGGAAGCATAGTTCAGAGTGATTGCTTTGATGATGTTGCATCCCTTCTATGGGGGAATTTGTTTTGGCCCTCTAGCTGCTACAACTGTGCTATCCAGATATCAAGATGACAAGCATATCTTTAACCTTAATAAGGAATTTAGGACAGGCATTCTGAAATTATTATTCACACCTTTGGAGTTGGTATATTTTGTGACTCCAATGTAAATAGAAAATGCTTTTCCAAATTATGTCTTTCCTTACATCCTAAGTATCAGGAAAAATGATTCTATTCTTAGCATTTCTGGGAACTTCCAGTTCTGACAATGGGATTTTTTTTTTCTCCAAACAGGTATGTGTCTTTAGAAGTCTATCTTTTTTCTTTTTGCTGGTCCTGGGGCTTGAACTCAGGGCCTAGGCACTGTCCCTAAGCTTTTGTGCTCAAGGCTAGTGTTCTACCATTTGGGCCAGCTACTTGGGCCTGGCTTTTTGAAAGTTTATTGGAAATAAGAGTCTCATGGATTTCCTTGCCTGGGATGGCTTCGAAAAGTGATCCTTGGATCTCAGCCTCCTGAGTAGCTGGGATTACAGGTGTAAGCCACCAGCAGCTGGCTAGTAGTCTATCTTTTACTACACTATTCACTTGATAAGAATCCTGATTTAAAGCAGGCAAGATGGTAACCAAGTGTTTTAAAATGTGCAAAAGTACCACTTTCAATTCCTCTGAGCAGTGTCAATATTTCTCAGAGCAAACCTACCCGAGTTGCATTTTAGCTCTATAACCAGACTAATTTGATAAAAATAGACATGAGTGTTTCTCTCCTTGATGAAATAAGACAAATTATGCTTTGGGAGAATATAATTTGCTATAAAGTATAAAGGTTTTTAATATTTATAATCTTATAATAAAACCATGACATGTGTATAAACACTCTCAAGACTTTTTTTTTTTTACAAAGGGCCACTTCCCCAACACAACTAGGAACACAATAAATATTCACAGACACACCGAGTATGAAATATACATCTTGATTTTATAATTGTGTGTGCTTTATTTTCTTTTTACACAAATGGAATGGAAGTGTTGAATATTTACACTTAACAGGAGTGTAAGCTGTGCAGTATCTCTGTCAACTCCAGCCCAGGCAAGGAGCATTCCCCCCTCCCTCCCATCCTGCGTTACAGCTCGATGGAGAAACATCCTGTCAGAGAGAAGCACAAAATTGTCATATTAAAAGGATCTAATGGGTACAACCTGGTGCACTCAGAAATTAAGACACACTTAGGAAACACAAATTCGAAAAGGAGAGGAAAAGTTTGCCATCCCATTGGGGGTCAACCTTGCCACAAGGGCTGTCATCATGGGTTGCTAGGGAGATACTGTTCTCTTTGAGCTTTTTTTTTTTAATCGAAATCCTCTGCCTGTCTTAGCTTGTCCTCAGCTGTGACAAGAAACTGCACAGCTGGACAAGAAATGATTTCTCAAGCACAGGTTTCAGTGAGGAAGGATATTTACAGACGAGTGTGTGTTGTGTGTGAGCGTTTCCAACCATAGTAATTTCTATCTAATGGAATATGTGTATACCCGGTCCGCATTCTGCATGTGTCCTACATACACGCACATAAAATAGACCCACAGAGTTCTGTAGGGAGTCTCCTTGTCACGGGGTGGGGTGAGGGGGGTAGTCCTCATGCTTTAATGGGAATTGACCCTTTCTTTCCCCCTAGCAGTAACAAATTCATGTGATCAATTTAGGAACTAGCCTGAGTCCTTGGCTGAAATATTTTTGGTAGGAATTTTAGGCAGGACCAAGACAGGAAATAAGAGATGTCAGTTCACCAGCGAGTCCATTCGATCTCACCAGAGTAATCACCAGCTGGAAAGCAGAGATGGGGGCGCTTCAGGTGAAAAATGGGCAAGAGTGGGGAGAAAAATCTCTCTCCAAACCAGGGCGATGTCATGGCTTCAATGAGGAGAAGGAGGTTTGCTCTCAGAATAATTGCTGGGGCCAGGGTCTGCCTTTATTTAAAGTAATGTCCTCAGAGCCTTGAGTGGTGTTGGGAGTGAGATTTTGGAGGACCATTTTTCAGGCAGAGGCTCCTAGGTGCCACAGAGCCCACAGCACACGCATCCTCACTGACCATGAGGCCAGGCCAGGCCAGGGCAGCGGTGCAGGCTGGCTCTGCTCTGTGAGGCAAGCTGGAGCTGACTCCAGGTCAGGGCCTCACACTCAGCATTGCTTTCTGGGCTGAGTAGTTTAACAAGGTGACCCCATGTGTTTGTGTCATTTGTCCAGCGTATGGACTTGCTGTCTGAATCAGCCATGAGCCCTTTATAGGACAGAAAAAAAAATGAAAGAGTGGGGTGTGGAAATGATCAGGGATGTGAAGAAAGGAAGAGGACAGGAAAGGAAGGGAAAAAGGAATAAAGAGCAATGAGAGAAGAAAGAGATGGACAAAGGGAGAAAGGGAAAGAGAATAAAGTCAACAATTGAAAGAGAAGAGGGGAAGCTAACGGAGAGGGACAACGAGGGATGCAATAAGATAGAAAATTAAAAAAAAAAAAAAGCAGAAAAGAATGGATAAAGATGAGAGCCAGAGGTGTAGAGGGCATTTTCCTGGCTCAGTCCTGAAGGGCCGGCAGTAGGATCTAAGACAGCTCAGAGAGGCATCTGAGGGCAGATCATAAAGATGGGCTTGCTAAGCAGACAGAGCCAACCCAAGAACTTGGGGCTTGAGAAAAAGCCTGCAAATTAACAGCCAACAAATCCCATGAGAGGAGAGCAGAAAAAAAACAAGTGCTCTAGCAATTGGCTGACAAATGGGATTTTGATTTTGGTAAAGCTGAGACCCCCGTGGTGCTACACATTGTACCAGAGCATGAAAAATAGCACCAGTGACACGATCTGGCACTTTTCTGAAAGGGCTCAGCATGTGAAGGTGACATTGCGCCCCCAGCAAGCCTTCAGATTGGAGAGAGCTCTGGACAAAATTTGCAGTGTTAGCACCAGTCTGGCCCCCAGGCTCCAAAGTGCATTTGTGCCAGATGTAATCTGGTTAATTTCCATGCCATGTCCACGCAAGTCCTCTGATTTGCTGCAAAAGAACCAATTCATTGGAGCCATAGAGACCTCAACATTGGGAAGCGCAAGACAACACAACAGATAGAGGTGTAAATTCTATAGGAAAAGACCCTCTCACCAATTTGCTTGGTGATTCTTCAAGCAAATATATATGCATATATATTTATATAAATCTACATAAAAAATCAGTGCAAATGCCGATTCTAATCTGGAAGCATCTACACTAGGAAAATAAATAATTATATTACTACAAAAAAAAAAAACAAAGGGTTGGTGATTCAATTTGATTGTACTCAGCCACAGCAATACTACTAAAATGGGAAGCATATCACACGACCCAAGAAAAACATCTACTCATTAATGATAGTCCTCTAAATAAACAGTTGCATGCTCAGTTGAGAAACCAAAGAAGTTAATCATGGTGGCCTAAAAACAGAGCTGGGATCAGCAATGGCATTCTGGTGGCAGAAAACTTTTGGGTGCAATATTAAGGAAAATTTGCCTTGACCTGAAAATGGTGAGTGGCAGACTGGGATGCATTTTTTTTTTTTTAATTTTTGAACGCTCTAGGAATGTCTCTGGAAATTTAACTTTCATCAGAGGGAAAATATATCACTAGCCCTTCCATTGGCAAAGGCAGCCTCGAGATGATAGGTAGATGCATGAGTTTTGCAATTTTGTGTTTGTTTTGGTGACTGCAGCCAGGCAGACAATGGTATTTAATACAAGATGAACAATCGGCGTTTCTGGAAAGAGACTCTCATTTTTGAGCTCTGATGTTTTTACTGTGAAGAAGCCCCATCACTCTGATGGATCTAGCTTTTGCTCTACCACTCCAGCCTAGATGCTGGTTTGCTGCACAGTGTGGCAGAATCCCTGCCAGGTCTTGATGTACCCCAGAAGTAAGGCGATGGGGCTTAAATCTGGGTATGCACAGAACCCAGAGTTGAGTGGTTATTAATATCACTGAAAAGTCTCTCTCGAAACACTTTGGGCAAAACCAGTGCTGATGTCACTGTCCATGCTAAAGTGGGAAACTTAACTCTTCGGTTTCAGTTTATAGGCTTTGGGAGGTTTCTTTTTTTTAAAATCATCATTACTATAATTGATAAAAAATGAACTTGGTCCAGGTACAGCCCCAAGGAAGGCAATTCAATTGGTTGAGTTCAAAGTCATAAATCACCTTTGCCAGTGGTTCTGTCTCTTTGCCCTATGTTTCAAAACAAACAAATAACCCTGCACTTCTCATCACCCCCTGTCCCTAACCAGATGCTTCTCCTCTCTTCCTCAAAGAAATAGTGCATCCTTCGGACAGATCTCCCCATGTAATATGAACTTCAGCTGTTATAAGACTTAATAACTCTGTGAAACAATAAAATAATTCCATTGACTCATGATTAGCCAGAATACTAACTGGCCCTTTAAGAATTGTATGCAAGTGACTAGGAACAAAGTTATTCTACTATTTTCACGGTAGGCCCGGGTTATTTTACTAAAGAAAAGCAAAAGGTCCTCGTAGGTCCTTTGCATGAGTTTGTCTCTAAAAAGCCATCAGCTGGAAAAACTGGACATTTGGTATTAACAAATGTCCTCCAAAAATGTCCACTCATTAAGGGATATGCTCCATAAATGTGTATCACTAGTGCGCAAGAGAGACCATGGGAGGTAAGTGAGGGAGAAGTCTTTGTCAGACTCAGAAAGAACTCGGGTGCTCTGAATGAATCATTGGCAACAAAAGGGAGAGTGCAACTTTCAGTTCTTGAATTTGATCCTCTGATAGTGCATACATTTAGTCTTTCAATTAGTCTTTACAAAATATTTCACAAAACTTCTTTTGTAACCTATAGAAATTTGTTTCTATACATTTAATATATTTTTATTGTATAAATTATTCTCATCTTTAGTGCTGTCTTTCAGCTTATAAATGGCAAAATAGACAATCAACAATCATAAAGCTAATCCCAGGTGAATCCCCTCTTCTCGGTGAGGTTACACTTCGGAATTTTATGCAATGCTCGTCTTTGCAGATGTCAGTCAAAGAAACTGTACAAATTAGCTTTCCCTGATAGCACAGCATTTCCAAAGGGACTCCTTGCTTTTTTCCCCCTTCTTTATCTCTTTTGCTTGTTAAGAAATCAAAAGATGTGCATAGTTATAAAATTCGAAGTGTACTCATTACAGATGTGGGTAATGGGAAGGTTGGTGAGGTTCGAGTGCTGGCAACTTTTCTTTAAAGCAAAAAAACACAGAGAGCTCAGCAGCTAAATCAGCTCTAGACATCTGCTGGGGTGAGGAGGTTTCCCATCCCTTGGGCAGAAAGCCCATCAGAGGTTCATCCCTACACCTGGTACTTTGAACAAACCAAAGCCTTCCTGCATACTGCAATGTCTTTTCTGTCCCACCCTTTGGCCCCTCCGTTTCCTTCATGGCTTCGCACAGTTTGTGTTGTACATTCATAAGAATTCACATTGACTGCAAAAACATAAATGCAACAAAAACATAAAAGCCTCCAAGTAGTATATTATATATATTTTGTTCTTCTAAATGTTCTTCTGTTGTTATCAGAGGCGTAGTAGCTAATTTATAACTTCTCCTTTGAGGGAATCCAGATGAAAGGCCCAGATTGTTCTTCAATAACAAGCTTGCATTGGTTATATATATCTTCTAGGGTGTCTCCTTGGACAATAGCTGTAACAAAAGCGAACATACCTAGAATTAGGGATCATTGCTGGGCGGGGGGTTGGTGAGGAACAATCACCACTCATATAAACTTCTGTTATCAAATCAGTAGCAGACAACTCATCATCAGGAAACTTATGATGTCTTAAGTAAGAAAAAGCAGAATATTCCCAGAAACACATCACACTAATGATGAAAATTCTTTCAATACATGACCTAGATCAGTTATAAGTATATCACAATTTTCATACTTGCTACATTTGTTTGGCGTCCTGATTATGAATTGTTCATATATTTAGCAAATATTTTATGGGTTCCTACTCAGAGCCAGGCACTGTAGTAAAGCAATGACTAATGTTCAGAAAAAAAATGAGCCTTATAGTCTCCATACCTTACTTACTTGGAGGAGATGGAAATTCAGGGATGTTAGACACAGAGGAAATAATAAGGATTTTGGAGAAAACTTTAATCCCACCACTTTTAATGGGAAACCATGTGTATTCTCTTTAGTAATCTGGTAAATTCAGATTCTTCCTACATAGGGCAATTTTATATAGAGGGTACCCCATAAACTATGTAATAGTCAATTAGTCAAAATGCCAGGTTGTTCTAACCTACTTTGTAGGATAGATCCCTAAAATATATCAATACTCTCCATATGACACTAAGAATTCAAAATAAGTTGCTATTGAAACAGAGATTAGATCTTCAAAAATATCTTCAGAGTATATTAATTATAATATTTCTGAATACAAACTACTGGTCAAAATGATTTTATTTTCTGAACTCATATTTTAGTTATTGATAGAAACATCACTTAATATTAACCTATGAAAAATATTTGTGAACCACCATGCCTGATGTTCTGTCTTCTGAATAAGACAAAAAAATTAAAACATTAATTTAGTTGTAAGGTAAATTCTTCCAGCTCTAATTCTTTGGATTGAATCAGTGTTCCATAAAAGCATTATAAGAACAGAGAACTTGGGATACCTAGAAGAAATTCTTTCTTGATTCCCCATATTTCATGTTTCCAAAGACATATTTAGAGTTGTTTTTTTAAGTTTTGCACTACAGAATTAATGGAAACATGGGAAAGATTTCCACATGCACTGTTCAAGAGCTACCGGAATGGGAGGCAGAACTACAGAATATCCAGATAGAATGGAAGACCTGAGATTACTCTTCAAGATGAACTTTTTTTTGGGTGGGATGATAGCTCAGTGATAGTGCGTCCTTAGTGCATACTCAGGTCCTGGATTAGATACCTAGCATTATAAACATCAAAACCAAGGCCTAAAGAGTAATTGCTTCAACACTGCCTGTTTTGAGCACAAAATGTTTCTTTTTCAAACATTTTCTGGTGTCATTGGGAAGACAGTTTAGGTATCAATTTTCTAAAGTCTCCTTAGTAGCAGGATATAGCTCAGGGGCCATCTGCCACTCATATTGTAAGTGTCACTTAATATTTTAAGTGCAGTATTGAGGATTCTGCTACTTAATATTTTAAGTGCAGTATTGAGGATTCACAGTAGGAAGATTTTCAGATCCTGTTATACCAGGGATAGAACCATCTATAAGTTAAATTATATAGTTTCTCTCCTTCCTCATGATGCCAGGGTCGGAGGAACTTACCTGTAAAATATTCTCCAAATTCTTGTTCCAGCTTAATTGCTCTATCATAGGTTTTCTTGGCTTGTTCTTCTGTTAGACGCTTGTTCATTTCCCTAGGAAAATGAGGGATTCGTATTACAACACAAGGGGAATATACCCAACCCTGAAAAGTTCAAGTGCATGGCAAAGAAATAACCCACAAGAAGCAAAGCTTAGTCTCCCTGGTAGCTTTGCTCAGCATTCCTCTTTGAGGAATCAATTTCAGCCCCAAGGCTTTCTGCCAGGGAGCTTTGCTCTCTCATTGGGCAGGCTCTTGGCCCCTCATTGGATAAAGCAGAATCTGTCTTGTAATTTATAGTCACAGGTCCCTGTTCTGTCCCTGCAGTCCCTGGAGTAAGGCTCCAGGGCAGGCTCATTTAAATAAAGTGTTCATGTGCCTCCTGGGACTTTTGCTTCTTCAGAACACACTGTCCTACTTTCTGCATCTGCCTTTCATTCGATACAATTTCAAAATTCGAACTTTCTTGGCCATCCTTTGTTGGATTTTGTTTTACTATCTTAGCTTCTCCTAAATGTTGGACCTAGAATTAGAGGAAGCCTTCCAGGTGCTCAGAGGCAAACAGGAGCAATGGAGAGAAGGTTTGGCTTGGGTCTTTATGTCTGAGAGAACTAGACTTTTCTTAAGTCTCAACCATACAAAACCTTTTGATTTCTTGCTTCCCTCATCCTTCTAAAGAGCTACTGCCCATCTTCTTGTGTATATGGACACAGGTAGAGAAACACAAAGTGCTTCTAAAGAATTAGAATTACATGAAATTGGTCAGACTTCCCAGCTATATGTGTCTCTCATATACCAAAAAAGGTATTCTGCAGCTCTTGAAACCAGGCTTCTGTAAATGTCAAGGCATGTCTGTAACAACAGGAGACTGGAACTTCTGTTTGAATAATCAAAGACAGAGGAAGGAGGAGGACTGAAAAAGGATCAAGGTACAGCAGATGTATATTACAATGAAATCTCTTATTTTGTACAATTAGTATATGGTAATAAAAAGGAAATGTTAGAAACAAACATTTTCAAATAGGTTAAAATCAAGTAATTTGGTGAAAAAGTAACCCTAGATAGAAGAGCTTTGCACTTAAGAATCTCTAGTATGGATATGGGTAACAGGAACGAAGTAAGTTGGTTAGGAGGAATAACTTCTAATGTTAAATAGCACACTAAAATAACTACGGTTGATAAAAATTGAATATTTCAAAATAGGAGGAGGATTTTGAATGTCCCCAACAAAATTAAATTTGTGTAAAGTGACAGTTATGCCAATAACTTTGATCTGATAATTATATTAATGTACTGAAATCATATATGTATTCAATTTCTATGTTCCAGCTATAAATGAGACTATATTTAAAAAACAAGATAATAAGAAATGCTAATGCCTCAATAAGCCAGGCCCAAAGAAACATAGGTCCCATGGTTTCCCTTATTTGCAATATCTAGTATATGTCTGAGTAAAGCAGAAAAAGTCAGAAAAGGTGATGTTAGGGAAATGAACCCTAAGATATGTATTCAAATGATTTTTTTCTTTCATGCGATTGTTTCTAACACATTTATAAGATTATTTCTTTGTTGCTTTGTATGTCCCTCCCCCCACAGTATAACTCCTGCTTTCACTGTATTTGATGTCGGTATAATTTGTGGAGGGGAAGGGGAAAAACAAATAGTTTAAATAGGGATACAGGTGGACCCATTGCAACAATGAGATGTACAAGTTGGTATGTCGAAAACGAACTTTATAACTTTGGTGTGGGGGGGGGGGGGGAGCAGGGAGGAGGATGGGAAGGGAGGGGAAGGGGAAACAAAGGAGGAGGCTACAATGCTTGATAAGAAATGTACTCATTATCTTGCCCATGTAATTGTAAACCCTCTGTACAGTATTTTCACAATAAAAAAAAAGAAATGCTAATGCCTATTCTGTTTTTGTTCTAATATGAGAGTGTGCTATAAAGGAATTATACCCAGGACTACTTTTTCTTTTGGTCAATTTGTCAGCCAGTGGTTTAACTCTGTATAAATATCGATTAATCATTATAAGATTATTAAAGCCAAGCCTAGAAAAAATCAATGTAGGGGAGTAATGGAAAAAATGGAATTCAATTACTATCCAGTGGTAGATTTATCCCTTCATGCCTTCCTTCTACATATTAAAAAAGCCCAGGTGAATGCAGAGACGTTTAAGTTGGCTCATCAGGATGCATCACAGGTGCATGTAGAATTTCTCAAAGTATCTCTGCTTTGCACATCCTTTAGGAAGTTAGAGATCCAGAGCTGGAACTCATTTACTTTACAATACATGGAGACTTGAAGCAGGGAAGAGACTTCCCTAAGCTATACATTTAATAGGGTAATGTGCAGTAAGAACTCAGTTATTTTTATAAACCCTATCGAAAGGTTCTCTTTCATAGTCAAGGGTGTAATCATATATAAAGTCTTTCAAAAAGGAAATCTATCTAACTATCTATTTATCTATCTATCTCTCCCCAAACAAGTCAGGCACTGTGGCTTACACCTATAATCTTTGCTACCCAGGAAGCTGAGATCTGCAGATTGGAGTGTGAAGCCAGTCCAGGCAGGAAAGTCTGTGAGACTCTTTTGTTCAATTAGCTAGTAAAAATCTATAAAGGGAGGTATGGCTCAAGTGTAGAGCACCAGCCTTGAGCGAAAAAGCCAGGGGACAGCACCCAGGTCCTGAGTTCAAGGCCCAGGACTGGTATGCATGTGCATGTGCATGTGTATGCACACATACACAGAAACAAACCCTAAACTGAAACATTAACTTGCTTTTGGACATAACTGAGAACTGAATTATAAAGTAGGGATTTCCTGAGCTCTGTCTCCAAAAATCCTACGTTTAGAAACTCAGAGTAGATACAGGACATCTTCTGTATCTCTGGTATAAAAGACTAATATAAACTAAGAAGTAACTTCAGAGAAAAGGATGATTTTTCCAGAGAAGGAAAGCAATTTGGTCATTCTTGTTCTTCTTTGACTTGTATGGTCATATTTAATCTGGTTTTATTTTCTCCCAAATTCTCTTTGCCTTTATTGTGGTAGTTACTTACTTACTTACTTATCTAATTATGCATTTGTCTTGTCTCCTTGCCTGATCTGATCTACCTGTTCTTGAGGGGGGAAAAGCCCTGGCTTGTTCCTTAGCATATAGCATGAAGCCTGTCTTGATTATCTGTTGAATAATTGAATAAAGGAAAAATAGAGAGCTAAATAATCATAATTATATAATTACAGGGTTATCCTGATATTATGTAGCAAGATGGCAAGAGGAGATCAAAGGTAGCAGAGGAATGAGAGATGCTGTGGGATGGGGTAGAATCAGGCAGTGGTACAATATTTAAAGAACATCTCTTTCATACATGCCCTCAATTTAATGCTCTCCTGAAGAGTCAGCTATGTGTATCTTAATATGCTCTATGGTTTGATGTGGGTAATGCACTTGAGAAATAATGTGTGTGATGATGTATCAATGCCTAAATGTGACAGCTGCCATGCCTTTGTTCCAGCTGACCGAGTATTCACTCCTTCCTGGGGAATGGGCAATTCATGCCTGCTTTCCTCCTGATGTAAAATCCTCAGAAAACACTGAACCATAAACATGCAACATTTAGCAAGGTGATCACATTGGGCTGATTGTCATTCTCCCTGCAGTTGAGACTTGTGACCATGGCTACAGCAAATTACGTGAGATTTGCTGGCCCCAGTGTGTTCGGTAGGGTTAAATTTCAGCCATCATTAGGTTTAATTTCCCTTAGTGGTAAGTTGCTGTGACAGTGCCCTAAGGGAAAACTAAATAAGTCATGGGATAGTTGTGGGAAGAAGGAGACCTTCTCCCTCTGAGCTCCGGATGGAACTGTCACCTACTGTCATGTGGTCACATGTGCCATTTCTTTTGCTCCCTTGGGTCCTACTTCCCCATGAAGCCATCTATCCCATTGTAGGCTCATCATGTGAAGACTCTTCTATTTCTGAAACCAGCCCTTAAGGTGCTATTCCCAGGAGGAAAGGGCCATTTCCCTACTCTTCTTAAACATAACAATATTTGTTATGCTTAGATTAGAAATCACTTTTACAGAATGGAAATTGGGGTTGCCTAACTCCCTTTTGTGCAATTCCCAACACAATATCCTTTATCAGGAGAGATTTTCACATATGAAATCAGGGTTAGTAACAGTAGTAGCCATTCTTTTATTTTCTTTCAACTACTAACACATTTTTCCACGTGGCAACTATGGAAAGATATTCTTCATAGTATAATTTAATACCTACACTCATTGAACTGAAGGTATTCACTGATTTTCGATTTTATTTCCTTATCTTGGTGAAAATCCTTGTCTATCTTTTATTTATGTGAATATATTATGCTGTCAAGTTGAATCTCTGGTAATTTCCAGAGGTCAATTATGTATTTAACTGAATTCTCTCAGCTGGCCATTCCAGCTACATCAGTTTGCTTTGATTTTTTATCATCAGAGAGCACATTAGTTTGGGATAATCTCTGAGATTAAATACTTTCTGTTTAATAAGTCTTTCCATAAACACTGTTTTCTGGGGGTATACTCTGTGATTCATTCCTGAACCCCTGCACATGCTCTTGATGCCCAGATGGAGGCAATAGTTGAGTGAGGTTCTTATATCAGTCACATGTGCACCATTTTCTTGTATTCTATTGGAAGCCGTTTATATACTTTATAATGATAAGACTAAATTATTAGTTTTTGAGTACTTACTATATGCCAAAGACTATATGAAGAACTTTCTATCCATGACTTTCTTGCTCAGCCTTCACTCTGTGAGATACTTATTAATGTCTAGTTTAAAGATGAAGACCAATTTTTAGTTAATTTTCCTAGAGTTGCAAAGCAACACACCAAACTAGTCTCATTGACGTTCAAGTCCCCACTTGCATCTTTCCTACTCTGCTGTATTACCTATTGTAGCATCACTTTTGTATGAGAGTTGCCTACACTAACTTTATAGTCCAATCATGAATATGGGCCCAACTTGCTTACTAGTCTTTGAAGCAAGGTATTTTGGATCCTTCAAAATCATGAAAGTCACACACTTTGCCTTGCTCATAAATGTGCCCAGATATGTAGGTAGGATGTTTCTCTTTCCCCATTTAGGCCTACTAATAGCTATTGGGTTCTGGCTATTCTTAGGGTCATGAGTCTTCAACTGTCTTCTTTCATTTGTAAGTAAAAGGCAGGAGGCTAAACAATAAACACAGCCATTTTAAGATTTGCTACAAAACTTTTCACTGCTCTCATAGACCCATTAACAGCCCTCAAATTCAGCTTGAGAAGATGATGTCAGATTTTCAACCTTCAGGAACCCATGAAAGTAAGAAGTGAAAAGTGAAAATAAGAAAAAGGATGATTTGTTACCCTGTGTACTATATAGTGACCTGTCTGATTATCTGTTCCTTCCTCATCTTGATCACCTGAGGATTGTTTCCTCTTTAGGCCAGTTAGCTTAAGATGGTTGGATCCAGGATGGCTGCCAGAGTAAACAGCAGACATCTAATGTCAATATGTTTCCATGTACATGTGAAATGAAACACTCTCCCGCATCATGACAGGTGACAGTTACCCTCCTGGAAAGACCACAGATGAGCAAAAAGAGGGTCCCACCTGAATTCCAGGAAAATTGCCACCCATTCTCAGAAAAGATGCTAATATTGGTCCCTTTTATTAGTCTATACCTTCCCTTCATTTCTTCTCCACATCTACAGGCATCTGAACCACCCTCAAGGTTGTGAAGTTGATTTTTGGGTTTATCTCTTACTTTTCCTATTCTTGATCAAGAATAAAAGTTTCCTACGCTGCTCAGAAACAACAACAAAACCCCAAAGCTCTTAGTGAAAGTATATCAAATAATGACTGATAGTATAACCCTAGTGGCTTCACATTTTTAATTGTATCTTTTTCTTTAATGCATAAAAATCAAGGGTGGTATTTTGTATTTGTAAGCATTTGTGACTAAGAGTTGTGAACAGTGTTCTGTGGAATGTGCAATGGGGAGTCAGTTGGATGATGGCCTCTAGCGTCTGTACTTACATCAGAGGTTCCAGAGACTTGGGCTTTATGAAAATAGCAATGGGATAGAGCTGGGCAACTTGTAACCGCTTGATGGCATTTCCTGATACATCAAGTATACAGTGTTTGCCCTGGTAGAAAGAGAGGAAAAGATGTAGTTAATTCTGAAAGAATGTCATAATGCAATGAAAAGAAAACATATGTTTTCAAGGAAGGTATGGAATTGCTGGATTTTTAAAGCTTTTTTATACTTTTTTATTGTAAAAATACTGTACAGGGGGTTTCAGTTACATGAGCAAGGTAATGAGTACATTTCCTATTGAGCATTGTTGCCTCCTCCTTTGTTTTCTCCCAACCATCCCTTCCCTCCCATCTCCACAACTACCTCCCCTAACTGAAGTTGTAAAGTTCATTTTCAACATAGTGTTTTGTATATATCATTGTTTCAATGGGTCAGCCTGTATCCTTATTTAATCATTTTGTTTTTTCCCTTCCCCTCCCTGAATTAGAGAAGTATATATACAAGATGCAGGGCACCAACATCAAATACAGTGAAATTTCACTGTATTTGTTATATAACCCCTATAACAGTATAGGGGTTATACTGTGAGGGAGGAACATACAAAGCAACAAAAAAATCACATGGCACATTATAAATACATTAGAAACAATAGCAAGAAAGATAAAAGATATTTATGTTCCTATCTTGGGGTTCATTTTGTTTAGCATCATCTTATCTTGTCATATGTACATAGCTTTTGGCCTTTTCTGCTTGTCCTACACATGTACTAGTTATTGCAAATAAGGGAAACCATGGGACCTATGTTTCTTTGGGCCTGGCTTACTTAATATAATTTTTTCCAAGTCTTTCCATTTCCTAATAAATGGGGCAATGTCATTCTTTCTGATGGAGGCATAGAATATCACATTTTTCTTGATCATTCATTCATTCATCTACTGAGGGGCATGTGATTTGGTTCCATATCTTAGCTATGGTAAATAATGGTGCGATAAACAGAGTTATGCTGGTAGCATTAGTATGGCCTTGTTTGTGATTGTTTGGGTAAATGCCCAAAAGTGGTATTACTGGGTAATAGGGGAAGAAAGACAGACTCTTCAGTAAATGGTGCTGGCAAAATTAGTTATTCACCTATAGAAAACGAAAGCTAGATCCTTATATATCACCCTGCATCAGAATCAACTCCAAATGGATCAAAGACCTCGGAGTCAAAGCAGACACCCTGAAAACATTACAGGAGAAACCCAAGTCTCCTTGGCACAAGCCAAAATTTTCTTAATAGAGACCCAGAAACACAACAAATCAAAGAAAGGTTGGACAAATGGGATTGCATGAAATTGCAGAACTTCTGCATGGCAAAGGACATAGCTAGCAAGATCAATAGAAAGCCCACAGATTGGGAGAAGATCTTCACTAGCCAAAAGGGTAAGGATAAGGGATAAGGATAAGGGCTCATAACTAAAATATTCTTGGAATTAAAAAAATTAAATCCCTCAACAACAAATCCTCAAAGAAACAACTGCCCAATAAATAAGTGGGCTAAAGACTTAAAGAGAAACTTCTCTGAAGAGGAAATAAGAATGGCCAACAGACCCATGAAGAAATGCTCAACTTGGGGCTGGGAAGGTGGCTCAGTGGTAGAGCACTTGCTTTGCATGCATGAGGCCCTGGGTTCGATTCCTCAGCACCACATAAGCAAAAAGAAAAAAGCCTAAAGTGGCGCTGTGGCTCAAGTGGTAGAGCGCTAGCCTTGAGCTGAAGAGCTGAGGGACAGCGCCCAGGCCCAGAGTTCAGGCCCCACGACCGGACCCCCCCCCCAAAAAAAAAAATTGAGATTCTACCTTACCCAGTTAGAATGGCTATAAACACTCAACCACTTTGGAAAGCAGTATGGAGGTTCCTCAAAAGACTCTACATGGATTTCTAAAATTTTAAGAGTACCATCATCCCCAAATCCATGAGATAGGTATTACCATTTGTGTTGTACAAAAGAAGACTAAGGCTTACAAATATTAACTAACTTGCAAAAAAAATATCAGTACTAGACAGAGTCAAACCTAGTTCTCCAACACTGACTTAATTGTTAGTTGGAATGTATAAGACACCTTTTCATCCCACCTTGACCAATGTTAAACTCGGAAGAATGATGATCAGATGAATTTAGAACAATTCCATACAATTTGCCCATTGCTTCTATGTATCCTGCCTTAAAAATATTTCAGTTAATGGAGGACAGACACAAAACAATTATCTTAAATACTATCTGGTTTAATGTTAACAAAAAAAGATTATATTTTAGCACACCTCATTTCACTTGGCTTCTACTGCATTAAGTGCTCAGAGCAAGGAGCAATTTTATAGTATTTATGGAAAATAGATGCATTTGCCATATCATATTCATCCACTTGGAGAGAAATGACCTTATTACCCTGTGCCTACAAGGACTTTACATAAGAGGAGAAAAAATTTTATGCTGATAGGAACAGTCAGTAATGGGATCCACGTGAAAATGAACAGAGTCCAGTGAATTCTTTTTTTTTTTTTTTTTTGGGTCCAGTTGTGGGGCCTGAACTCTGGGCTTGGGCGCTGCCTCTCAGCTCTTCAGCTCAGGGCTAGTGCTCTACCACTTGAGCCATAGCACCACTTCTGGTTTTTGTCTTTTTGCTTATGTGGTGCTGGGGAATCGAACCCAGGGCCTCATGCATGCAAGGCAAGCGCTCTACCACTGAGCTACCTCTCCAGCCCAAGTCTAGTGAATTCTTAAACTCACAAGAAACACACTAACAGCCTTTATCACTTAGGCAATAAATGTCAAGTAAGCCATCTGTGAAGTGCTGTTTGTTTACGCACTGGCTAGAACATTTCAAGTTAACGGAAGTAACATATGTTCAAAAGAGAAAACAGATTAATAGTTTTCCAGGGTACTGACTAGAATCAGTATCCACATAGACAATAGAACATCTTTTCAGTATCTTCTCAGACAGTACATTTCTTTTTTGTTATCATATATTAATTGTACATAAAACAGGGCTCAGTGTGTTATTTTCATACATACAGCCCGCCCCTTTTCCATCCCCTTCCACCACATACTCTTCTGCCCTTAGTCATAATTAATCCACTTTCAGGTTGACATTTTTAAAAAATGTTGCTTATATGAGAGAGACCATACAGTACCTGTCTTTTGTGTGCTTGGCTTACTTTTCTTAATATCTTCCAAATCTATTTTATTTGCTGTAAATAAGAGGACTTAATTCTCCTTTATGGCTGAAGAATACTCCATTGTGCATATATACTACATTATCTTTACCCATCCATTCAGTTGATGAGCACCTGGGCTGACTCCTATTTTAGCTACTGGGAGTAGTGCTGCAATAAACATGAGCATTCATAGGGTAACTCTTTGGTATGCTAATTTCCTTTCATTTTGATGTATAATCAGAAGTGGGAAAACCAGATTACATTACAGATCTAGTTTTAGTCTTTTGAAGAGTCTTCATAAGATTCTCCAAAATGGCTGTACTAATTTGCATCCTTACCCACGTATATTATAATTTATTTTCTCTACATTCTCCTTAACTTATTTTGTTTTTGTTTTCATAACATAGGATGAAATAGGATCCACTATTATTTTGATTTACATTTCTTGGATGGGTGATGACATGTAATATTTTTTCATATATTTGTTGTCCACTTGTTTGTCTTATTGTTGTAAGTATTCAAGATAATTGATTTTTTAAAAAAAATTGGGGTAACTGTTTTTGGCTGAGTCCCTTATATTCGTTTGTCAAAGGGAAATTTGGCAAATGTTTTCTCCCATTCTGTCAGCTATCTCTTTGCTGGGCAAAGCTTTTTAGTTTGATGTAATCTCACTTGACAATTTTGCTTTTGCTTCCTGTGCTTCAGAGTTCTATCTATCCAGAAAATCATTGCTAAGTTATCAATGATTTAAAGTGTTTTCTCTAGGCTTTTAATTCATTTACAAGTTGAGACAGAGGTCAAGTTTCAGTCTTCTTGATGTAGATTTCCAATTTTCCCAGCACAAGTTTTTGAAGAAGCTGCCCTTTTTGTTGGGAACCAGTTGGTTGCACATTCATGGGGTTCTTTTGGATCTCTGGTCTGTTTGTTTGGTCTATAAATCCATTTTTATGCTCATGTCATATTGCATGGGTTATTATGACTATGCTGTTAGTATGTGTTGAAATCAGGAACTGTAATGCCCCCAGCTTTTCTCATTTTGCACAAGATAGATTTGGCTATTTGGAAACTTCTGGCCTTGAAAATTGATTTTAGGATCAAATTCTTTCAAGTTTGGTGAAGAATGTATTTGGTTTGTTACTAGAGATTGTGCTGAATCTATATTATCATTTTGGGTACTATGGACATAACATTAGTATTAACACGGGAAATTTTCATAGTTTCTTTTATTGCATGTCCTTCAATCTTTCATGTGTGTTTTATAATTTTGCTTTGATATTTTCTTAGAAAAGTTATTGATGTGTGAAAAAGCTACTGATTTCTGTATTTTGATTTTATATTTTATACTCTATAGAATCTTTAGTTTTTTGGTTATACTTTTTAAGTGGATTCTTTACATTTTCTCTCTATGAGTCATATAATCTATAGAAGACCCAGAAATAAAACCATACACTTATAGTTATCTGATATTTGATAAGGGAGCCAAAGACATAGAGTGGAAAAAAAATAGCCTTTTCAATAATTGGTGTTGGGAAAACTGGGCATCCATATGCAGAAAAATAAAGTGGATCCCTGTTCGATACCATGCACTAATATCAATTCAAAGTGGATCAAAGACTTCAATGTCAGACCCCAAACTTTGCAACTATTCAAGAGAGAGTAGGAGAAACATTAGATCTTACAGTTATAGGTAGAAATTTCTTGAATAGAGTCCCTGAGGCACAACAGATAGGAAAGAGACTCAGCAAGTGGGACTATATTAAAATAGTTTCTTCCCAGCTAAGGACATAGTAAACTAGAAAGACAGCCAACCAACTGAGAAAAGGTATTTACCAGCAATATATCAGACAAAGACCTAATATCCAATATATCCAATATATACAAGCTCAAGAAACTAACCCTTCCAAAACATAATAA